ATGATACTGAGCTCAGTGTTCGAGCGATAATACTAACTCAGTGATAGAGCGATATTACTGAGTTCAATGTAAGAGCGATAATACTGAGCTCAGTGATAGAGCGATAATACTGAGCTCCGTGATAGAGCGATACTACTGAGCTCAGTGATAGAGCGATACTATTGAGATCAGTGATATAGCGATACTACGGAGCTCAGTGATAAAGCGATACTACGGAGCTCAGTGATAGACCGATTCTACTGAGCTCAGTGATTGAGCAATAATACTAAGCCTAGTGATAGAGCGATAATACTGAGCTCAGTGATAGAGCAATACCACTGAGGTCAGTGATAGAGCGATACTACTGAGCTCACTGATAGAGCGATACTATTGAGCTCAGTGATAGAGCGATAATACTAAGCTCAGTGTTAGAGCGATGATTTTTGCTCAATGTAAGAGCGATAATACTAAGCTCAGTGTAAGAGCGATAATACTGAGGTCAATATAAGAACGATAATACTGAGCTCAGTGTTAGAACGATAATACTGAGCTCAGTGTTAGAGCGATAATACTGAGCTCAATGTAAGAGCGATACTACTGAGCTCAGTGATAGAGCGATACTATTGAGCTCAGTGATAGAGCGATACTACGGAGCTCAGTGATAGACCGATTCTACTGAGCTCAGTGATTGAGCAATAATACTAATCCTAGTGATAGAGCGATAATACTGAGCTCAGTGATAGAGCAATACCACTGAGGTCAGTGATAGAGCGATACTACTGAGCTCACTGATAGAGCGATACTATTGAGCTCAGTGATAGAGCGATAATACTAAGCTCAGTGTTAGAGCGATGATTTTTGCTCAATGTAAGAGCGATAATACTAAGCTCAGTGTAAGAGCGATAATACTGAGGTCAATATAAGAACGATAATACTGAGCTCAGTGTTAGAACGATAATACTGAGCTCAGTGTTAGAGCGATAATACTTAGCTACCGAACAACCTGTAGTTTCCTGACCCAGTCCAACTTGAGTGATAATAGAGGTCCAGTTTTCTAATCCTGGTCAAGTATGTAACACATTTTAAAAGTTCTTAGTTGGTGTTTCTGTGTTTTTTCCCCCTTTTATATTTTTTTTCATAAACGTTCTGATCTATCAAAGTTTCGGTCGTGCTGCGGGTATTCTTAATGCCTGTTGTGCCGTTTCGATAACATTCAAACGTCCTTTTTTTCTCTGTTACCAAGCAATATAGCATAAAGACGTGGCACTTTAGTCGCTATTCTTTTAGATACAGGTTTGTTAGATTTACCATATGACAGAGAAAAATAACAAAGTGATTAAAACAATATTTTATTTTGTACATGTATCAGCATTTGTTGATATCTAATTGATACAAATCTTACACGCAAATCATTGCAGTTAAGCATATATTAACGTAAAATACTTATTCAAAGCGTGTAACAAATATTATTTTTAAAATTACATGCAAAGTTTTATGTTTACAAATGTACATAGACACTATTTATCTAACAAGTCGAATCACGGCCGTGTTTGTTAAAAGGCAAGTACGCTGTCCACTACAACAAACAATCACTCAAAATGATTTGATAGTAAGGTGCTGCATTGTAAAACGCACTCGCCTTTCATAGAAACGGTTGGTCTGTGTCCAAATCCGTATCGAACATGAATAGGTATGGCATCAACTGCACGAGCCCGTTTCTTCTGATACCCGGCGGTTTTCAATCCCCTTCCGTGAGCTACCGTCCGGACCAAAAACAGTTATTATAATAAACATATTATAGTTAATTTATAATATTTTTAGGATATGTTACCTTACCTGTACAGCACTCTTCGCTCAGGTATGGGTCAGTATCGAGTTCAAATACTACATTGCACGTGTATTTCAAATACTACATGGCACGTGCATTTCAAGGCATACAATTAAATTTGGCTATGTAGCTGGGTGTTTTTGGTATTGTCTTGCGGGCAGGTATGTAGGAGTGTATTTCGTCCTTAGACCTCAAAATTAATCCGGGCTGGGTGGTATTTTCCCGTTGTAGGCATGTTTGTGTAGAATTATCTCAGTGTTAATTTGGGATGGTTATTTTCCTGTTGTAGGCATGTTGTAATATATTATAGGGGTGTGTTTAAACTTATTCCCCGGGGTGGGATACCGGGTGTACATTTTTGAGAGGACATATGTTACACGGTATACTGTTTTAGTATGGACCGGTCGAGTGGTTGACGTGCTGTAGCATTGTGCATATCTATTCATCATGTTTCATCTAATTTTACTTCACTGTTTCGTTTGGTACATAATTAATTGTAGAACTTTATAAAACGTGTTGTCATTCATTGATCTGTAGCCAGCTGAAGTTAAGTCAAGACAGAACCACAGAGATGACGAACGAAAAATCACTATACGAGGACAAAACTTTTACATATGAATACAAATCTGGGTTCCGCAACATTTATTATACTACAACAACAATATGCTTGAATAAAAACACTAGTTTGCCATTTACAGAATTCAAAGAGCCAGTATATATATGAAATATTAAAATTAAAATAACAGTGCTGCCTTATAAATAAAATTTTGTCTTACTCATATTTCTGTTACGAAGTTAAAATTGGCACACTTTTGAATATAACGAAAGCAAAATAGGTAACAAGTTTGTTTTAAGTGGGAATCAAAATTCACAACTTTTTCTTCTGAATTCACCACCACTGTGTCCATGTTAGATCTCATAAAACGTTTACATCTAATTGTATACATTTTATTGTTACATATATAAAGCACTACAGCGCAGACAATATATATTTAAAACTATTACCTACATATACATATACTATCATAAAGTTACAAAGTACAAAAATAATCGTTAAAGTATGAAACCAAATTAAAAAGAAACCAGGAAGGAACAGTGGGCTACCAAAATTGTAAGATACCATCCATCCCTATAAAACCGAACCCGAAACCAAGTTCTCACTTAGTATCAAACAATAAAGTTATTTTGGTGCTATCATATTGCTGTGACATTTAAGCAATAACTTCCTAATCCATATAAAATTCCCTCTAAAGCTGTCCAAACTTTTGCAATATTAGCTTATTTGTACCACAGTAAAACATCACGCGATAATAAACCACACACTAAACTTATCAAAATATAAACACACAAACAAATATTAATAAAATAAAACAGAACAAACATAATATTGAAATCAGCTCTGTGTCCGTATACCATAGCAGTATTCCTGCTAAATTATCATTGATTTACTCTTATTTGATAAAAAAAAAAAACATGATTCTTTTCATAACTTCATCGAAATCAATACACTACGTTTTACTCTATGAAGCTTACTGATAGAAATATCGTGATTAGATTATACAAATGACGCGAAAATAAATCAAAATATAAAACAAATAGCAACAAAACAGAAAATCAAACAAATAATTAAACATGTATTTACATTTTCGATGCTTCAAAACTAAATTGCAAAATATATGGCCTTACTCGAAAAGTTCAATTTAGTTTACATTTGATTAAAACGATATATGGTACATATCGCAATACACTATGATAAATCACACCTTAAATTGTCCAAAAAAAAACAAAAACATCCCCCTCCAAAAAACAACAAAAAGTTAAAACAAACAGAATACTGAAAGCAGACTTATTTCTTGTGTATGTACGTATATTAACAAAACAAAGTATTCCTCCAAAATTATCCTTGGTTTACTTATATTTAATCAGGGAAGCCATGATGCTATTCAATAAAGCTTACTGATAGTGATATCGTTACTAAATTATAAAAAACAAATAAAATTTAAAACAAACAACGCAAGACAAAAATCATAATAATTATAATTACATGAATTTTGAACATATATTTACATTTTCGACACCAGACATTTATAGTTGACCTGTTGTTCAACATTCCCTTAGGGACTATGATAGGCCAGTATCAATTTATATGTATGCTACCGTATCACATGTATTAAAACGATATAGTACTGTTCCTATGAAACAGTTAAAAAACATGTTTATTATATTTTGCTTGCACATAGCGATGTACACACACATATATATAAAGACAACTCATTGATGTGATTAAAATTTTCGTAATTTTCGGCACGTACATTCCAAGATGGTGATTACCACACACGCTCCTGATACGTAACCCTTTTCAACATTAAAAAAGCATATCTAACATCATCCAACGCATTTTATCTCCTATCACGATAATTATTTGATCTATAGTTGCAAGACGAATACTAATGATATCAGACATATATTTCATTCTACCTGGAATGTAAATATGATGTCCATATCTATGTGAAGGTTTCTATACAGATATTAGTATTTATTTGTCATGTTCGTACCGTACCATTGATGCACGTACCGGATTATATGTGTTATTTGTCATGTTCGTACCGTACCATTGATGCACGTATCGGATTACATGTGTTATTTGTCATGTTCGTACCGTGCCATTGATGTACGTACCGGATTACATGTGTTATTTGTCATGTTCGTAGCGTTTCATTGATGTACGTACCGGATTACATGTTTTACATCGGTTAACAATAGCTGTTATGTTCTGTGATATGTATATGTCTCTTTTAAAATCACAAAGAAACCTTTGAAATATGCACAGAGGGCCGGGAGAACGCTACAACGGAAGTACAATGGAAAATGTCGATATTTTGTCAATCATTGCCAACATGATGTCAGTGGCCTGTAAGGAACAAAAGAATGTCAAACGCAAGAAAAGAAAAAATCATGATTTTCTACTTTCACTTCTTAAATCAAAATATGTTATTTCTTGTCAGTATTCTAAAATGAAATGCTATATGTTTGTTTTAAAAAATGACAGAAGGCAGCACATGATCTTTTTTGGTCAGACATTTTTCGGTTTTAACAAAGACCTTTGTGCACACACAAAACACATAGAACCATTACTGGTGTATAATATTATAAATGTTAAATGTATAAAAGCTGGCAAATATCGTTTTTATTCTTATGAAATCGTCAATAATCGTCAAGTCAACGTCAAAGTGTCTCTGTTAGTAACGTTATGTAAAAACCTCAAAACCTCCGTCTTACCTATGCTAGAAAACGACTATGATAAATGTAAGTACATATTTTGCCGAAGTCCATTTACACTTTACTTTGGTCACAAGAGGTTGTTACATATATCAATGTAGTAAGCTTAATGGCGTCGAAAAGGAATTAAAAAATAAATACAGAAAACATGATAAATAAATAAAGATAACCAATGACCTATCAAAGCTGGTTCATGACAATGACCACTTATACTTAGTTTATTATAGCAAGAGATCAGATGAACAACCAAATCGATATATGCCTTTTGGACCTCTTGTATTGTGTGAGTTGGGAATCATTTATCTTTAAAATGAAAGACTGCAATAAAATCACGTCGTAAAGATTCGTAATAATAGATTAAATTCAACGGTCATTTGGACATCAATATATAAGTTTGTCCAGAGCAAGAACTAATTAATGTCAACTCTCTATAACATTCTATTGTCCTTGAGTACGAATGATCATTTGGCGTGTAGAAGTAAACTATGAAGTTTAACTCTAAGGCTATGAGATCTTTATCTGCATCTCTTCATCTACTTCAAGGACTAGTATAGGCTACATGTTGAGCATACAAATGTATAACATTTCAAAATAGTTTAATAGCTTTTGCAAATTTGCTTTAAAGTCACATTTAATTTGGTTCAATATTAATTTAAGTAAATTTCAGATTCATGGCAAAAAGGCATTGCTGTTAATAAGCATTTTGTTTTTGATAAAAAATACTATTTTTAGACTTACTTCACGATATTGACATTTCTTGGGTTTTTCTACTTTGATTGATTGATTGATAAATAAATATATAATAAACAAAATAATGTTTTTATGTTTTTGTTTTTTTCTATTGCTTTGTTTATATATATCTATTGTCTATTTTGTGCTTCTGTTTCTAAATATACAATATGTTAAATGCCATATACCGTCAATATTCATCAGGCTTAAATTCACCTGTTTCAAAGGTTTCTGGACCACATACACAACCAATTTTAGAATAGAAAGACTGACGAATTAGAGCTCCCTGTCACCCTGTATTCTGGTTTTTCGTATACAAAGGGACCTAACATGTACTACATTTTGACCATAACTGTAGCACTGCTGGGCTTTGGCACTTAGGTTAACCCGAAAGCTAAGTCAGCTAGAAAGACAGTACATCAATTTGAGGTCCGTGGTTTGAATTCCAGGTCTAGCCCTGCTAATTCTTACACGCAGAACACTTCAATGGATTAATCTTATTTCCTTCATCTTAATTATATTTTCTAAACTGCTCCACAAAGCGGTCTTTTCAGAATTAATGTGTCAAATCTATAACACTGTCGGAAATAAAGTGTCCAATGCGAAACATTAGCTGTTATTTGCGGCAATGGCACAGAGTTCCTTAAGAAAAACGTTTATCGTACGTACGTGTTATAATGTTATAGGTACATAAAACAGACTTTAACGTTTGTGTACGAACACCATTGGCACTTTCATTTTAAGCAGAATGCCGTGTTAATACGTGTTGTCGTTTTCACACTTGAGCTCGCAAGCAATGCAATAATAGGTAGAAGAGATGCGATACGTTAGACAATGTAATGTGGGATGTTTTGATAGAAAACGAAAGGTTTAATCGTCAGAAGCGTGGTAACGTATCACCACTTTGAAAAGTACTTGCCGAATGATAAGAAAATCGTATTTACACCAGTGTTTTTCATTTGCCTGGTGTATTTGACATTATGTAGTATATCTCGTTCTAGTAATTGAAACGTCACACCTAAGTACTTCACTGGTTGTGCTATGAAACTTAAACAAATTTCAACAGTGTCTTATAGTACATGTAATACCATAGTCATAAGCGCTTAAACCTGCTTCAAAAGCAGTATAAACAACTGCCCGGCTTGCAAATGATTATTAGCATACGCCATCATAAAGAACATACACATATATTGTCTACAGAAATATGTCCATTGCTGTGTTCTATCGATATGGTCCAGTCCGTATACATTTGGAATAACGAGGCTATTGAACGAGCAACTTATATTGTTCAATAGAAGCATAACAAAACGAAAATCGCTTCAAACGACAACCATTGCTGTTTCAGCAAGTTATAACACATCTAAATAACCTGATATTTAAATTAGACCAATGCTTGACAACAATTGTGCATTACGTAAAAAGACCATCTGTGTCACGCATCTTTGTATCATCGTTTTGACAAAGGTTATCATAAAGTGATATCAGGCTCACATCATGAAGTAGTCCGTATTATGTTCCGAAAATCAATACTTTGTGCTTTGTTGTTAGATTTATACCAAACTGCCCAAACACAATTTCTTACGTTACATCTCCTCCATGGGAATGCCATCAGTGGCATTTGTAAGTAAGTGACGCAGATATTCAGTTCGGTCAACATCATCATGCTTTTTTTCAAAGACGATTTATGTCATTACTCCAATCTGGTCGATGATGAAATAATTTTCTTAGCGGCTGAGTTCAAAATATTTATGCAAGTTAATGTATAATCACATGACGTGCGCGTCAGGATATCAGCATACAAAAAGTCGGCGAAAAGTCGTGAACAAGCAATTAAGTAGGGCGATACATCCTCGCGTTAAGACAGAGGGTGCTTCAAAATAGAAAAAGTGAGTTTCCTCTAGCCTACAGATCCACGATTTACGCTACCAATATTAGACACGTCCTCTCATTGGACGTTCACTACAAACGCTATTCCGTCGGATCAAACCTTAGTTAATACAGTTGCCGAAGATCCTGAGTCTCCAAAGAGGAGTCGTACGGTCAAACTATTTATGAATAAATTCTCAACACCGAATTCGAAGAGATCTGCACCAGGTACTGCAGGGTATACACTAATCCAACCTGTTGTCGCGATGCACGTGTCATTAGGTATATCGCTACTGATAACTACGTCAGCACCAACGCTTCTTCCAGCAACTCATCAAAGGCAATATCCGGCTCTCGTCAAGAAAGACGTGTTTGTACAAGTAATACTTATATTTTGTTAACGTCGTGTGCATTGTCTTTTAACGTCGTGGTGCAAATAACTACTCTGAATAACTCGTAAAATAACGCGGTAAAGTGAAGAAACGTTGCTTATCTCATAAGAAAAATGGGAAACCGCCGTGTCATCGGAAAGATACTTTACCCTTTCAGATATTACTTCCTTTTCCCACGATCTCGGAGTGAGAGAGTGAGTAATTTGAAGCTCATGCCAGATAGCACACAGTAGTACAGTATGTCATAGAGATCATAGCTACCGTTTCACTATATATACTTTGCTATCATATGCTAAAATCTCTGACCGACATTGTGTCAAAGACACAGTAAATACCAGTTTCCGTATCAAACTCGTTCGGAAAGATGTGCTTGACCTATACGGCGAGCCAATACCTACCCTCGTCTAAATCGTAACCATCTGATGAAAAGTGCACGTTACATTAACGGTATTCATTCGCGGTTTTTTTGGTTTAGGAGAAGTACTTGATACAGTCTGTTTTACTGTGGTTTCACATCTTTAGAGAGTGTTATATTTAGATGGTGTCCACAGAGGGCGGATGAGAATCAATTACAACTTCTACACGATGCCTTAAACAAGGGATTGACGTGTGATTTAAAAGGAAACGATGCTAATTCCTGTGTTCAAAAAACACATTTACCTGTATTAGAAGGTTATTGAAAGAAAATGTGTCCATCTTCCCATCGATGCCAAGCATCTTTTCTACAGCAATCAGAAATGTAACATTTGCAGCAGGACAGTTGGCAGGATACTATTGTAAAATTTCATGAGATTCCTAACATTTTCACTTACATTTTTATCATAATTTAGGATAGCATTTCATCCTATGTTGATCGAAACCCCTTAAACTTTTAATGATTTTCAGTACACATCATGATTGGTTCAGATGTAATCGATGTAGTTGACTCTCAGGTCCCTGTTCACCGCCCAATGTCTATTTCGAATTGTGTTAAAACTTATGCAAGAGACAACCTATATAGACCAAGATAGTTAGAATAATGGAAGTCGTACAGGAAGGAGACATTTGAGACTTTCACGAAGATTTCATCATCCGCACGTAACTTAAATACGCCGCAGAGGAAGCTTGTGTAGAAGCCACTTGACTGCTTTCCTCCGCCATATTTATTCATCATCATCATGATCGCCCCTGTGTTTGGCAGCAGGTAGTGTTCCCGTAATAGCATATGGTATACCTGTGCATTCAGATCAGTTGGTGGTGTCTGGAATGTGATGGAGGAGTAGACGAAATACAGGCCGTACTGTTTGACCTGAATACTCCGTTTGTCAGGGTCGTACACCAGTAGGTGGCTGGTCATCGACAGGTTGTGGTAGTCATGTCCATCCCATGGGATCCTAGGCGCTATTAAATATATAACACATATTATGGTTAGTGGTCACATGACACTCTCAATCGCTCATCTCATTTGATCCAGATCGTAAATCGCATCCTTGATAATAAAATCACTCTATTAGATATTGGTCCATAGCAATCATAACACGTTAACTATCTTTACGAAGATTGCAATAATTTGCTAATTAGTTCAGAATGTGTAAAATTTAGTTTCGTTATTTTTGTAGTTCGTTTAATTTAAATACACTTTCAATTATTTTATGATCATAAAGTGTCATTCGTTGACAGATACTGCCAGGAACACACGAACATATCAAAGACGCAGTACGTAATCAGAGTATGCATGAATCAGATGTATTGCATAAGTTTGGTCATCATCTACAGAAATTCTAAAAAGATATTACAATACCTCCATCTTGTCAGAGAGTATAAGGCAGTACAAAATATTATTGAATAACAAATATGTTATATTTGGTAATACACCATTTATCTCCTGTAGGTTTCCTCGATAAATCGACTAAAACTGTACAGTGATGTCCTATGTTAAACAAAATCTATTTGTCAATGGCTTTTCAATGTATTGAACATACCCTATATTTTGTCAAATATTCAGCATATGAATTAACAATACATAACTAGAAGCAAGAACAGCACACACATGTATATCAGAATATTGTTCTTTGAGGAAAACATATTTCCGTCCGAACTAAATCTCTAGGCATTACTTCATATTTGTTTTCTCTTCTTTACCTCGAAACTATAAGACGGTTATCAAATATTTTTTGAAGATATTGGTATTATATATTTCAGCTGAACTTACACATAAAGAGTTAATAGGACTTTGGTTTCAATCATTTTCAAATGCGTTTGCGTAGAGATTAACGTCTACGCGTAGACTTGTTGTCGTGGAATGAAAAACGTCTAAGGAATAATGTCGATGACATAGACTTTTAATTCATAGATATCATGCACCCATGACAACGTGGTATCGTCGTCATCGACAAGTTAATAACATACAATGTTATTTAATGTATCGCAACTGTCCAATATTTGTAGTTGTATATATTTAAATGAATACAATATATCGATGTTTAACTTGACACTCTTCAAATTTGTTAAATTGTGTTCCCAATTATGTTTTAAATTTAATTAAAATGATATTGGAATCACTTGGTTTAAAAAAGACTGGCCTTGGTACACCTGTCCTTAAAGAAATGTGGTACACCATATCAGAGACTATAAAACCATGATATTTGTGGTTTTTTTTTTAGATAAAGTACAAAACATCAATTTAGAAATATGTAAATTGTTTATTTTCCAGTAATATGAAACACGAATCAATAGTTAAACATGCACATAATTACCTATACAACTAGTACTTTAAATGTTGTCAACAGACAGTGTTTTCTGTGAAATTCTGACATGTCTCGTTTGGAGTAGTCGTGTGCTCTAAATTTACAATGAACATAAACTATTTTGTCGAAATACTCATTGATACCTTTATTGTTATACTCTAAAAGCAAAATGCACCGATTTTGTTTCAAATTACTATTTAAAAGATTAGCTGCGGAGTTGTCTTTTATACACGACCTTGTAAGGCCTGTATCTTTTGTGGAGATACAGACAATTTATCAAATATATATGATTCAAACGCTTCATAAAAAATTACAAAATGTAGTTATATCTAATGTAAACTTGTTTATTACCAGTCCTTTAATTAAAGGGAAACTATTTTGCACACATCACTATTACATTATCAACTTTGGAGGAATTACTTCCCCTTTACGTTTTAAAATGTAGATGTCGGATTATGTAGATACTATGTTAACCACTGATATTGCTGTTGGGAGAGGACTTATATAGGCAATCAATTATGCCTACTCCTGTTTGACTTCATTTGTCAATAAAAAATGTCAAAAATGAAATTGAATTCACAACAGCAGTTCCTGTTTCTCTTGATTTTGTATCATCCACAGTTACTGTGACTTCATTTTCTGAAACCAATAATAACGAAGAAAATATATCATTCTCAATCAAAACTCGTGTATAAGCAGTCATATTGAGTCCTATTTAATACAGGCTTAATCCGCAATTTCAATTGTTTGCAAAGCCTACCATAAGGACTTTGTGCTTACTTGTCGTTGACATAATCAGACAACTGTGTCCATTTGAAGCTCCTGTTTATGTCTGCTTTATTCGCGTTAAGTCGAGGTGAATGAAAGAACCACGGAACAGGACATTGCATTACTATTCTGGGGGATCAACATGTATAAGTGTATAGCCATTTGCAAAATAACAGTTCTTTCAAACTGTTTGCCAGAAATTGGTTTGATTGTGATAGTATGGCATATTACCAGCCGATGTGGAGTGACAAATGTGTCCATTGACAACAGAGATATTCAAAAGCCAATCGGTATTACCACCACACTGTTAGATCATAATGTGCACAATGGAGCCGGACACATATTGATGGGGGGTTCCAACGTAGAAAATAGACAACAAAACGTGTGAATAACGAAATCAAAGTGGAGAACGTAAGCGTTGCGATATCGGCAACAAATATCCATTGTTTCTGTTAGCATCTCAAGCTTAAGGGCACACAAAACAAAACAGCGGATTTCTAAGTACTAACTTCTTCGCCTATTAAGACCATCCCTATCTACACAGTTGCCCCCTCCCCTCCCTTGTTACCCCGTGCGTTCACCAAACCGGCAAAGTTGTAAGATTCGTGTAAAACACATCACGTACAAGCATTTGAAATGTATCAACATATAATGTAAGGATAAAACATTCCACAAAATGTTAAACTTTATGGTACAAAGTTATCGTCTGAGAACCGGAAAATATGATCTTATTAAATCCTTACAGTTATTGTCTTATATATATACACTCATGTATGTTCAATATATGTGATTCGTTTCAACAATATATCGAAAATTTGCTGTAAAAGTGCTGTACCTTAAACTGTGATTACTTTTCATCATGTAAAACGATGTAGACACAGATATTAAGTATGGGTCGCTAACAGTTTACTTAACAAGAGAGCATGGATATACATATACTGTCTGAGATAAAAAGTTCACTTACCCGTACAAGGCGAAGGACCGTGGACACGATCTTCTATGGTCGGCCACGTATGTGTTGTAATTACAGTAACTCACCGAACTAGGATAACAATATGCAGATGACTCTTTTAAATGAAGTAATTCCAAGTATTCAACAACCACATCGATAGCGCTAGTAAAACGTAACAAAGAACTAATACAGTATTTCAGCGTAAATGTATTTTACGATAGTTTGGGTGTATGTCATTCATTAATTACACTTTTGATTTAAGTCGCAATTGCTAAAGTACCCACTTAATCACATTAATTAAGACCACACCTGAAAACATGTATTTTCTCGATGAGTGTTATGATAATTACGACGGACACATCCAAAATGTACACTGCGGAAAATTTATTTCGAATCATCCGTCCTTAGTTTTAGACACACAAAAATACAGATGTCATGGCTCGGAACGATTTACAGAACCAACCTCGGTGGTATTGTCTTAGGGCTTTGTACCTTTAAATGACTTTTTGTCGTTGAATCATTAATGTACAGATGACTTAATTTTAGGTTAATGTTTGCCCGGACACCATCATCGTAAACGGACGGACTGTTCAACGGACCGGAAGATTCAGCACCCCCTGTTTATCAACTCTATAGGCGAAGTTCTACAAAAATATGATATCATGTTTTGTTATGCATCCGCGGAGGTTTTGAAGACTTTCACAGTGTTTTTAGTCATGAAACCTTACGTGTATAATGCGTGTGAGATTGAACGGGGGATCCTCCTATATTCCCTTCATCTACAAACTGAACAAAGTAAGTTTAAATATCGTCAACACATGTTCTATATTACTTTCGATACTGCTGCTATACTATTTCGGTTTTGTTTTCGTTATCGGTAAAACACATTTACTTTGCTAGAGATGAAAACATTTCAAGTGCTGTGATCGATATAATCATAAAGCACATTGCACACACTGTGTTTATGGAAATCTATTACAGCAGTGAGTCAAAGTCAATAGCCATGTCGACCTTGAAATTTCATATTAATACAAATAGTTAATAAAGCGGGACGAAAACCTCTAGGAAAGGAACCCTATTCTAATGATCTAACGTCTGTATTCTAAATACGCACATTTATTGAAGATAACATTTACATATAAAATATAACCAATCTACATACCAATTGCATTTGAACTTCTCAGCAGCTTGTTGTCAAGAAACATATGAGCAGCGACCTTCCTCTTCGTCCAAAATGCTGGTATAGCCGATGTTGAAGGTTCACGGCCCGATCCTCCTACATAGCCAGCAACCGCTCCAACAGCTGAAAAGTAAAAATATGTTACTATATTTCACACCAACACAGTGTTTTGTTCTACATGTAACTGCAACCCCCATTTACAGTGGTTTGTTAATTAAGCGAGTCAATGTATCATCTTACCATAGTATATCTATACATGTATATATATAAGTAACATTAAGCACTCCTCTCTGAAGTTTTGAAGATTGCTGTTCTGTTCGTATCTAGTCATTGACAAAATGATATCCACAATCATAGACTCAGCAGACGTTGCTATTTGTTGTTTTGTATCAATGTTGTTTCTTCAATACATCCAAATTCTGCTCAAAAAGCGTTATTTTTCTTTGGAAAATTACCTTACAATTGTTAAAAACTATTAATCGGAAACTTTCACATGTATAAGAATACACATGCATATGAGCCCCTATCCAACCACTGACCACGTTCGGTGTTGCGCAACCAGCGTCCCTTGGTCTTAGCTCGTCGCTGGAAAACCTAGCGTGGCAGAAAAGCAATACTTTTCCCTCATATTACTTGGCTGTTACAACCATAACGTAAATATATCAATTCTGAAAATAAACTGATACCTTGTGGATTATTTTTAAATCAAAATCATTGTTTAAAGAATTCCGAAACTGATAGATGGGAATCTTGAACCTCCGACCAATTCACGACTGCAGTAGCTAATCAAGCTACATTAACAGTGGCAGATCTCTTATCCAGTCTATATACAAAATGAAAGGTAAGGGAGGTATGTAAATTGTATGATAAATTTTCAGTGAGACAGAGGTCTTTAAATATGGAAATCTGTCTTTAGATTATGTTTATCTAGTACATAACATGTGTACTATTTTTGAAAAGCCGATATTACCATAATTTTCTTGTTTATGCTTGTGTTCATGTAACAGTTGAATTTTGCGAGAAGATGTTATTAAAGAAAATAGGTCAAAGTTTGCAATATATTCGCAAACAATGTTAAATGATGGGCGACTTTCAAATAAAAAAGGAATAAAATAAAAGCAGAGATGATGTCAACACACTAAATCTTAGACATTGAAATTTTAGATAAATAAAGGGGAAGTTACTCCTCCAAAGTAGAATGAATGAAAATGTTGTGCGAAGATTGTCTCCCTTCCACTGGTTTTACTTTATCTAAATATATTTATCATTTATCTCCCAAAAATGTACAAACCATACACAGTCCATAACCCCCATATTGGCCATCCACTAATGATGTTCAGAAGTCAATTCCAACAAATAGATACCTAGTTTATTGTTACGGTCAGATCAACTCTTGAATATATCAAGACTGTTTGTACACTTTCAAAGGTATGCTTTCCTTCATAAAGTGGTATGGTAATATGAAATATGTTATGCCCAAAGTTAAAGGGACATCACGTGAAAAGGCGTTTTGTTTTTAATGAATGTATGTATTGTATGCACTTCCACTTATGTTACCTCGCTATCCCCATATTCATAGTCCGTTCCAAATGTCCAGTTTGACCACTTGAATTGTTCGGGAAAGCCCTGCTAAAAATAGCGCCGATAACGTCACCTGACTAGGCAGTAAACACAAATTGTGCGAGCGAGATGAAACGGTTTCCAAAGGGGCCCCCAGAGAGGGGCCGTCAGGCAACTGCAACTTCTTACCGCACTATGAAACCAAGTNACATGCCCATTAACATATTAAACTAAGTTCATCTGTGTTCAAACTCAGACAAAGATACTAGCGTGCTTAATAGTTTTAGATATTTATTCATAACATAAACAGCGCTAGCATTTCTGTCGATTCCATTTCAGCTTAACCGGCTATCCGGAGGAATACATGCACCGTACTAACTGCTACGGCAGTTATTTTCTCCTTTGAATACTGCCCACCTGCAATAATGATTCCGTGACGTACTCCTTGCGCTATCTTTTGACCATTTGGCAACTTTGCGTTTCGTAGCTGATACGGTACAACACTTTTCTTTCGCTTACTTCACACGTCCAGTCATTTTGTTTACAAAGAAATGGTGTGCTATGCACATGCGCTAGTAGAGGGAAATCCCTGAACAAAACGTAGGTCAGACAGGTAGAAATACCGATGATTTTCTTAGATTTAATCATTTTTATGAATCTATTTCAGCAAAATCCGATTGTTATTTTCCATAAGGAGTCTCACTTGATATGTTTATGTAGTATTTGAAAAAAAGACAAAAAATAAAGTTACTTTACCGTGATGCCCCTTTAAAGTACATACACAATGTGGATAATTATACAAGTTAATTTATGATCGTTATGTAATACAATAAAGAAGTATAAATACTAATACATTATATTTTAATTGCGAATGCGTCTTCTATATCACAGGAGCAAACCAGTAGAAATCTAATTATTAATTTAAAAACATATTTTTTGTAAACATATGTTTAAAATATTGAGCTTTATCATTATCGTTTGTATCACAAGTCGCCTAAATATGTGGTATTAATATGCAATTTTATCAAGCTATAAGCAGAAACCTTTATCATATTCATTCTATTTCTATCAATTATACACTCCCGGAAATATGGAATTGTTTATGCTTCCCTTAAAATACTGGATATACCGTACAGGTGTGTGAATATTGTGAAATTGTTTCTATAACAAAACTGTAGCTTTGCTTCTGCTTCTGAGATATTTGAAATATGTAGATATATTTGATTTATCTCAATCCTATTTTACCTTCGCTTGGGTCCTCTGTGTTGGTCGAGTTGTTTGCCTCTGGACCTTGATAGTCCGTAGCTGAATTGTGCACTACGTTCCTATAGTACTCGTTGATGATCTGTCATATGAAAAAGTGTTGACTAGCAATAGCAAAGATAAAGATCTTACTAAGCAATAAAAATATCAAGAATCAGAAAAAATATATAATAATCGGCTTTGACCCCATTTATTAAATTGAATGTATGTAAATTGAATATTCTAAACTTGATATTAAATACAAAACAGTTATGGCATATAAATGCCACGGCTAGATACATAGTACATAATTATTGATGCAATTATATTAAATCTGAAATTGTGTATACATGGTTCAATGTTACTCATTATAATACAACGGAGAGAACATACATGTTTTCCAGTTTGATTATTCGCTAAGTCATCATATATATCAGGAAATGGTTTTTAATAAACTTCCATGTAACATATGAAATATTTGTAAACCTAATTTTTTCAAGTAGAACTGGTGATAATCGGAGATAAATGGGTAACTGCTCAGTTACTCAGAGACCAGACCAGAGCAGCCATTTTCTGTTTCGATTTTGCTCGATAAATAACAACACGGGATAAGGTTCTTCTGATGTTGCTAAACAATTCCTTCAAATGTTGTGTTTTAACATACACATCCTAATGACATCCCATTATATTGCATATTTAAGCTTACTTCAGCGTAACTAAGAATTGGAATGATTTACGTAGCATAAAAAAACATGGAAAGAAAATATTGTTCATGACTATATTGATTTTTATATGCAAATATGTTTGGTATATCAGCCGCTAGTTTCATGGCAAGAATGCACATATCGAATGATATGGTCTGGTTTTCCTTGATTATAATGGTCTAATACTAGGTCTTAGTTTTGCTAATTGATAGCTATCGACCCCATGTTTCTAAATGGGTCTTGCACGTGACCATAAACGTGTACCTCATGTTTCTAAATGCATGATGTTAATGTACAATAACAAACTTGAACTTAGTATCTGATGTTTACTTTTGTATATTTTGTTAATCTCTATAAATATACATGTAGTTTACGTAATGACTTGATTATACATATATGCATATTTTTTTCAATTTTGTTGGACAGTTTTTTTTATTCTTTTGCTTAAATATGTATTTGTACTATATTTTCTACATTAATATAAAAAAAAGTTTTATTTTGAGAAAAAAACACTTGGGAATATGTCAATTAATTCTCACTTTCACTTTTTCATCTTATGTTATCTATTGACAAAATACGATATATATAAACGTAGGACTATCGGTCGATATCACTCTATCAGGTTCAAATAAAAATGTATTGACATCAGCAAAAATAAATAATTTATAAATATTGTTGACCAATTTGAACCGAAAAATTAAATGACCTATATTTTAACCCTCAGTACATTTTAATGAAATGTATGCCACACTTCGGTAATTTGTCTACTATAGTTACAGGACTTTTTAAAAGCTGGTTATATACGCCATGTCTGATAGAATATCAGTACTCTTCTCTTTATGTCTTGCAATTTAACATGTGTATAGGGTTTGGATCTCAACAGTTTTAAAATTTTGTAAGCAAAAATGGCCAAAATGTTTGATAATACCTATATACAGTGGAGAAGTCGCTTAAGCCCCACCACCTTAGAATGTTTTCAATTTAATAATGTTGATATTAACCTCACAGTGTCAGAGGAGAGGTATGGCTGAATTGCTCGCTTTTTGCACGGCCCCACCAATTTTCGCTGTTCAATAAAAAGACGGACATACGACACGGGTACGGCCAAAGATTACTTTGGTTCAGCGGACCGGGGAAGATTAGATAAATTTACTTCATTTAAAGTCGGCAAGTCGCAGAATAAACAAATGTACAAGCTCTAATGAGCTTTTGAGACAAACATTAACATATATACATGCATAAACATACCGGGCTGGATAAAAAAAACCTGTTAAACACCCCAGCATCCGGGTGCATACGCTTTGCTTTGCGCCGTTTCGCCATACTGTATGCAAATTAATAGATGTTCAATTTAATTTAATTTAGGTAACTAAATAAACACTACACTGTTATTCATACGATTCGGTCGTATTCGTTTTCCCGCTTCAGACGAAAACCGGTTTCTTGTTTTCATCGATGTAAAACGTACAATAATTAATATGAGACGATGATTGGTCAGAATGAAAAGCTGCAACTAGCAGCTGTGCACCGAACAACCATTTATATTTATATTTACATTTGCACTGCATAGGGCCTAGATAACTCTACTGGTCCCATTGTAACATATTTTCCAATGAACTACAACGGGGATTAGGTCAGTGTAGTGGTACACTGACCTAATTACCGCCAAGTGGCGATGTTCCGCTGTGTTATGTCTTAAAATGTTATTGTATGACAGTTATATCGCTAAATGACCACAACATATATTAAAATGGTCACATGTTAGTATATAAATTGGTAATTGACATATATGCATCTAAATAAAAAAAAATCTATTATTAAATTGATGTGTTTACTGTGGACCTTTCTTGTTTATTGTTTTTGTCGGCCTGGTTGCCCTTGACAACGACTGTGGAATGCGAAACTACCCGGCTGTTCCGAACAATTTACCGCTGACCCAGTCGGTGTGCATAAGAGTTTTAAAACAGCAATTAACAATACTCGCAACATTGCACAACTAATTTCGTTGGTTTCTAATTAAATATAAGGATTGGTTGTCATATTTTTTGACGTTTGTTTGCGTGTAAAATACACGCCAATAAACGTCAAAAATATGACAACCAATCCTTAAACAAACAGCATCTGTTCGCAATCGACAATTATAATAGTCTCACATGCTATGCATGTTTTAATGCCTTTTATAGAGTGTGTGACACATGATCGCCTGGAACTATGCAACAATATTGATTTAATCTAAATAATGTAGTATTTCCATATTTCTGTTGTTAATCTCTATAAATATAGTTTACGTAATGACTTGAATCATAAAACGTGTGACACAACCTTTGTGATACATATATGCATATTTGTTTCATTTTTGTTGGACAGTTTTTTATTCTTTTGCTTAAATATGTATTTGTATTATATTTTCTACATAATATAAAAAGTTGCATTTTGAGGAAAATAACTTGGGAATATGTCAATTAATTCTCACTTTCACTTTTTCATCTTATGTTATCTATTGACAAAATACGTTATATATAAACGTAGGACTATCGGTCGATATCACTCTGTCAGGTTCAAATAAAAATGTATTGACATCGGCAAAAGTAAATAATTTTTAAGTATTGTTGACCAATTTGAACCGAAAGATTAAATGACCTATATTTTAACCCTCAGTACATTTAAATGAAATGTATGCCACACGTCGGTACTTTGTCTTCTATAGTTACAGGACTTTTTAAAGCTGGTTATATAGGCCATGTCTGATAGAATATCAGTACTCTTCTCTTTATGTCTTGCAATTTAACATGTGTATAGAGTTTGGATCTCAACAGTTTTAAAATTTTGTCAGCAAAAATGGCCAAAATGATTGATAATACCTATATACAGTGGAGAAAACGCTTAATCCCCATCACCTTAGAATGTTTTCAATTTAATAATGTTGATATTAACCTCACAGTTTCAGAGGAGAGGTATGGCTGAATTGCTCGATTTTTGCACCGAACAACCATTTACAAACAGCATCTGTTCGCAATCGACCATTACAATAGTCTCACATGCTATGCATGTTTTAATGCCTTTTATAGAGTGTGTGACACATGATTTCCTGGAACTATTCAGCAATATTGATATTATCTAAATAATGTAGTATTTCCATATTTAGACATTCTGTAATCGTCGATAACTGGAAATTTACATCGATAAGATTGCATGTAGGATTTATTGTTAGTGACAAAGCAACATTGATGATAAAAAAAGTTGTTTACCCTTGCTTGTATTACCTTGGTTGGTCTGATGTCATCTTTGTTGGAATGCGTCCTTGCATTTTTAACCGATATTTTATGGCAGATCGCCAAAGTAAATAAAGGGATTTAAATCAAGTTACATACAACGTGAACAGTATGTTGTACAATTTAATTTATTTAAAATACCTTTTTGGAAATGTAAAACAGCATCTGTGTTAAGTGAGTGATGTTTCGAATAATTGGATCATTGTTGAATGGAATTAACAAACGGACAGTATTGTTGAAGATTGGTTTTACCACTAGTCTCCTTATCGTCGTAAGGTAATTTTTATGGATTTCTATGATCTATATACATGTAGTTATTTACACAAGTATGCAATATTAATTTGAATTAAGCTTGATAACAGAAATGTTTTAAAATAATGATGACTATACTTCAAACGGTAGCATGTAGATTTAGTGTCACGTTAAACGTACTCTTTTACCTGTGTCAAATTAAAGTGTGAAGCTATCGTAGCAGACGACAAGATTAAAGTTTATAACATTCCAGTCACACCGATAGCTATATATGGTAGAGACAGCTTGTGTATGTGTACACAGTGCAACCATTGGTGATATGTAAATAAATATCAATACAGTACCTGGCAGTTACACCGAGTGCGGCCAAATTCACACACAAAGAGGGCATGCAATGTATTGATGCAGAGCTTTTGTTTATAACAAGCGCTATTTAAAAAAAAGGTTATAAGACCTGCATAAGATAACAATCGCTAGTCCTATACGTACCAACAGGAACAATTTTTTCAAATTCCCTACGTCTTCCATGCAGCACATATTTGTCTTTTTGTCCAGTTTGATAATGTTTCCGGTATCATTATTTGTGATGTTCCTTCCAACTTCAGCACAGGGGAAACACAGAGAGTTTATAGGTTCGGGGTCAGTAACATTGTTATTCTCGGTGACATGATGCATGGGCAGTACCGTCGGTGGCGTCCCTGCATCCGTTTCATTCTTCGGACGTTGACAGTTATCAGTCCGTGCTAATACAATGAAAATGGTGACAAATTCAACAATTACAAAAACAATCAGAACACCAATAATCAGTTTGTATCTTCGTTTGGTACAATGCAGGCATATTTTTTTGTGATAGCTGTGCATACGGTCGTACCTAATTTCGTCATCAGGCTGATATTTAAATTCGTGTCGCACACTCATTTTTGCTTAACACCAAGTGTACTTTAGTCATAATTTTATGTCATAACACCTAATCCATTTCTGTCCGGCTGCCACACATTTATATACATGTAGCTAGCTGTTTTGTGTTTACCCATCCAACAACAGACCTTGCATTGCGCGTTGCCAGCTAATCAGGTAAGATATTTTCTAGTATGCTATAAATAGTGACATCGCATGCACAGAGTAATTCGACCTTACTCTCCAGGACGGAAATCTGGCTCAGTCGGCAGATGCTACAACAGCCTCGTTGAAACCGTGTCTGATAGGTGCGTGGTCGCGTTTAAAGTGTGTGATCTTGCGACAGAGCGTAGGACAACAGCTTAAACTTGAGGTTTTTGAAGTAAAACCGATTTTCATGATGGAATACTTACCATAACTTGAGTATGCATAAACAATATCTACACCCATCTTTGTAGCCCAAAAACAAAAGATTCAAATATACCGCCCTCCCTACCGTCACGTAACCATATCTCGACGACAGAGCCACGGAGTGATCTCTCATCCTCAAAACCCCTTTTATGGAGCCTAAAGGCAGCCGGAATGAGGAGGCATGGGGAGGAATACAGGGTGGGACTTCATAACGTTATGGTACGTATTACATCATGCAAATAGGTTTTACTTCAAAAACCTCGATTTCATTTCAGTAATAATTACCATTACTTTGGAATGCGAATTCGTAGTGGAGGTCTCGTATCCAGGCAGACAAGGCTGACGGAGCAAATTCGAGACATGCTCAAGGTAGGGAACGGTTCAAGGAAACCCCAAAAAGTCCAATAAGTAATTCAGACTTAACCTCCTGAAAGGAGAACCCATTGAGAAGGGCCCATGACACAGCAAGGGCCCTGACCTCATGAACTCTCACCTTATACAACGCCCGAACCTGATCATCGGAGTGGTCGTAACCGTACTTAATCACCTGATACTGACTGAGAGGAGACATCCTTCTGACCCTGCTTGATGGGCAAATACAGATGAGATCGACTACCGAAGGCAAGAGGGGTGAGAGAACAAGGCATGAATCCCACTCCTCCTTCGACCCGAGACCAGGGCAATAAGGAATTCCGCCTTGTAGGTAACAAACTTCAAGGAGGCAGACGCTAAAGGTTCATAAGGTTCCCGCATCAGCGATTCGAGCACCAGTGGCGAATTCCACTGCCGGACCTTGGCCCTGTCCAACCCAAACCCCCTAATCAAGTCAGAAAGAGAGGAGGACGAGCCTACATCTGGCCTACCATGAACACACAGCATACTGGCAATCGTCGTACGATAACCAGCGATAGTGCCAGAGCAAGGATTGCGGTTCCTAAACAGCCAAAGAAGGAAGTCCTCAATCACCTGGACAGTAGTCTTGATTGGATCAACCTTCCTGCCTACACATTAATCACAGTAAATCTTCCATCGTGGCGGCAGATGAGGAAGACCAAATCGATCGAGCGATGCGATCTGACACGTTCCTAGAAAAGCCCGCCTGAGCGAGGCCTCCTGGGATATTCTCCACGCGAAAAGGTGGAGGATCCCCGGACGAGAGTGCATCGTCCTTGACCAAGGCTGTCGAAGGAGGTTTGCTCTCAGAGGGAGAGCCAGACGCTCTTCCACCAGACGCGACAAAAGCTCCGGAAACCCAGGCTCCTTCAGCCACAGGAGTGCTATCAGGAGATGGGAACAATGATGCTCCCGAAACTTCAGCAGCACCCTGCCCACCAGGTTGAAGGGCGGGAATGCATACGCATGCATTCCCTCCGAATCGCGAGAGAGAGCGTCCAAGGCCCAAGCCTGTCGATCTGGAACCGGAGAGACAAACGTTGACAACTGATTGTTCAGTGCAGTAGCGAACAGTTAGATGTGGGGCCTGTCCCACACCTGACAAATTCCCTCGAAATTTGAGGGATTCAGTTGCCAATCTGTCAAAACCGGCTGGCGGCGCCAGGAAAGAGTATCCGCCAGAACATTCAACCTGCCTGGAAGATGCTTGACACAAATTATCAACTACATGTCCTGGTAAAGAAGAAGAATGCGAATAGCGAGGACACACAGGGTGTGACACTTGTTCCCCCCTGTCTCACCAGATACGCAACAACTGTAGAGTTGCAGCGCCAACAGAACAGCCCTCCTCTCGAGCACATTGATGTGCTCAGAGAGCTGTTCCCGAGACCAATTCCCCGACCGGCAATGCCCGTCGATGTAAGCTCCCCACCCCGTCATGGACGCATCCGTGTACAGGGTCATACTGGGAGCCGGCTTGGACAAAGGAACCCATCGTAAAGCATTGTCCTGATGAGTCCACCAGCGTGCGAACTCCTTGACCGACTGGATCAGAGAGAGCCAGGCTTTACAATCCCTTGAAGAAGGACCCATTTGGCAAGGAGAAACATTTAGAGGCCTGAGGGGACCACATCTGCCAGGACGTTGAGATAACCCAGAAAACTGAGGAACCAACGTACCTGGACTTGAGACCGGCCGATGAAGGTCAGTGCAAAAGCCCAGGCCTTCTCGAACTTCTCCATCGATGGAAGGGTGATGCCATGAACCGTATTGAAACGGTTCCCCAGGAAAACGAAATCCTTAGATGGGGAAACCTCCGACTTTTCTCTGGACGGAATGAAGCCGACCTTGAGTCAGACGTTTAGAACCAACCGGATGTCCTGCACCAGAGACTCTCTTACTAGGTGGAGCATGAGTGAATCGTCGAAATAGATGTGAACATCTATACATCGAGAGTGCAGGATTCCCACGCCCACCTGCAGCAGCTTGGTGAAAACCAAAGGTGCAGTCGTGTGCCCGAACGGCATGGCCCGGAACTGGAAGACATTTCCGTTGCACGTAAAACGGAGGTACTTCCGTGCCGACTTCTTGATGGGGAGGTGGAAGTGGGCGTCCTTTAGATCTACTGAAGTTGCCCACATTCCATCTCTCACGGAGGCGATAATGCCCCGAGGAGTCTCCATCTTGAAGTGAGAAGAATATACGTGCTTGTTGAAGGCGACACTGAGCTGCAATCCAGCATACCCAGGACTACGGGTTTAAGAAGAGTTCCTCTCTAAAACCCGAGACTGGGCGGTGGCCACAGCTGAAGACACGATTGTGCATTCTTGCAGATAGTGGTCCGACTGAGCGGACAAACAAGGAGCCACCAAGGAACCCAAAAGGGTGGTGGAATCGTGGACAAACGACGCCGAAGATGCTGAGCATATACCTCCTCCTAAAGAATCCAGGAAACGACAGTCCTCAGGCCCCGCATACCAGGCAACACATGCTGTGCCTCAGCTTCAGCAGCCTCAGGGTCACCCTCATCCTGGACATCCTCATCAGAGGGTAAGCCCTCCTGAGGACCGTCATCAGACGACTCGGAAAGACCAGCGTCTATATCCGAGCAACCAGGTGAGAGATGAACAACATCATCAAACTCTTATTTATTGAAGAATGTTATGGAAGTTTGATATGTTAACAATACGGAGAGACGAGGATCAAATATGTAACTACTGTATATCCTAAGAAAATATATTAAACTTAAGACTGAACAATTAAACTCATAGAGACATGGACTATCATGAAACGGTTAGTTATAAATAACGATCATTTAACGTCTAGAAATAGAAATGAAATGCTGGATTATTTTTATACGCAAAGTAAAATTCCCAACAAGTCTATACAAAAGAATAACGGTATACAGTTGCAAATCACAAGAACAAAATGCAATCCTACTTAATCAGTTTCCTGTACCACATGACAAATTAAAGTACACACTAAATAGGACAACGGTATGGAGTGGGCAAGCACAAAACAAAAGCAAGACATTGACAACTTTTCCTGCACAATATAATGGACCGCTATACTTTCTCACCACCAAATCAGTAGAGCATGGATGTCACCATCAACTTAATAGTTTTCAACCATGATCGACACCGAGAAGTACATGGTTGTACACAATCCTCATTGAAATATGTGTCCTGCTAGCAATATTGTGTTTAATAGAATGTATGTAATTATTATATTTGGTTTTGCTTAAGACAGTGTCAGACCTAAAGTATTTATGTACACATGTTTGAGACGTGATTTATGTTATGATTGATCACTGAAGTTCAACGTTTTAAACAGGTATTTATGACAATTTTGAATTAAGGTTCAAAGATCTCACGAACTTTTGGTTATGTTTTATGTTATATTTATCCAATATTTCCCTGTTTCAACATGCTATGCATATATGAGTCATGCCTTTTTATATATCATTCATATTTTGAAAGGGTCCTTTAAATCTGATTAATATTTGTATGATATCATTATTCTTTTATATCACTATTCTTGCCATGTTTCCGTTACCGTGTTACCGAATTTTATGTCGGTTAAATATCGTCACATACATTTGTACCAAAGTACAAAAAGCTCGGTTTGTGTCAGATTAAACATGTACCTTGGATCACTTCAAATGAACTTGAAAACTGACACTCATGCTATTTGTATGCACACATTGACACAACTTTAGCACGAATTCATGGTCACATTATGCTTTCTATGATTGCCGACAACCATATCCAACAAAATGAACATATTTTGTATATCATTCTGTACCATGGAACACTTGTCTTCGGTACACAATGATATGCAAAATCATATCATTTTGTACCATGGTTAGTACATACAGATATGAGATGAAAGTTGTTATAAAACTTTGCTTTCGTATGTTTCTGTACCAGTACAACGGCCGTAAAGAGCCATGATACAGAAACATGAAACCTTCGCCTCTTAAATGTTATCCAGTGTGACAAATTACCGTTTGATAAGGCTGTAATCACGTCCACGGAGTATTTATCTCGTAGAAGGTGTCCAATTCTCATTACACTGGCATCAGTGGCAAATTAATGGATATAAACTAATCAATTCATATCATTTACAAAATTATGGTAAGCTTCTACAACCAAAGGGGAAATCATTTCAACCTATGTTATCCAATACGTGTACATCCTTGCGCCAAATAAGAAAAGCATGATTAACTCCGATGGGGTCGATGTACGAACTAATTGATTTATACAATGCTTAAGCAAGGGGGAAATACTACTCTATATACTATACTATTATGCATTTTACTTTGGATTATAAATGTTTTTTATGAGCGTACAATCAAATCAAGATATAATACA